GCCCAGGCTGGAGTGCGACGACACAATCTTGGCTCACCGCAACCTCCACCTCCTGGGTTCAAGCAATTCTCCTGCCTCAGCCTACAGAGTAGCTGGGATTATAGGCATGCACCACCACGCCCGGCTAATTTTGTATTTTTAGTAGAGACGGGGTTTCATCATGTTGGTCAGGCTGGTCTCGAACTCCTGACCTCAGGTGATCTGCCGGCCTTGGCCTCCCAAAATGCTGGGATTACAGGCATGAGCCACTGTGCCTGGCAAGACCCCATCTCTTAAAAAAAAAAAAGCAGAGATCCAACAGAAAATCTGGAAGATAAAGTTGAAGAAAGTTCCCAGGAAGTAGAGAATATATAAAAGAAACACAGAAGCCACAGTAAGTCAACCAGAAGGACATCAGAGGACATCCAGTAACTTAATTACACAAATACTGGAAAGAACAGAGAAAACAGATGGAGGGAACTCATCAGTCAAATAATTCAAAATTCCCTACAGCTGAAGGACATGAAGTTCTAGCTTGAAAGGGCCCACTGTGTGCCCACACTGTGAAGTGAAAAAAACAAACTTTATCGGAAGATTCAGAACACTGGTTATAAAGAAAAGATAATTCAAACTTCCAGAGAAAATAAAAGTCACACACAAAAATCAGGAGTAGGCCGGGCGCGGTGGCTCAAGCCTGTAATCCCAGCACTTTGGGAGGCCGAGATGGGCGGATCACGAGGTCAGGAGATCGAGACCATCCTGGCTAACAAGGTGAAACCCCATCTCTACTAAAAAATACAAAAAATAACTAGCCGGGCGAGGTGGCGGGCCCCTGTAGTCCCAGCTACTCGGGAGGCTGAGGCAGGAGAATGGCGTAAACCCAGGAGGCGGAGCTTGCAGTGAGCTGAGATCCGGCCACTGCATCCCAGCCTGGGCGACAGAGCGAGACTCCCTCTCAACGCTAGAAGCCAGGAGGTAGAATAAGATTTTCAGATGTCTGAAGAAATATTTCCAACAAATAATTCAATACCTAGACAAACAATCACTTAAGTGTGAGGGTAGAAAACAAACTTTTTCAGCTGGGCGCGATGGTTCACGCCTGTAATCCCAGGACTTTGGGAGGCTGAGGTGGGCAGATCACCTGAGGTTGGGAGTTCAAGATCAGCCTGACCAACATTTAGTATCTCTACTAAAAATACAAAAACTATTAGCCAAGCATGGTGGCGCATGCTTGTAATCCCAGCTACTCGAGAGACTGAGGCAGGAGAATCCCTTGAACCCAGGAGGCGGAGGTTGTGGTGAGCCGAGATCGTGCCATTGCACTCCAGCCTAGGTGACAAAAGTGAAACTCCGTCTCAAAAAAAACCAAAAAAACAAAAAAAACCCCACAACTTTTTCAGACATAAAAAGCCTCAAAAAGGGGCCAGTGTGGGGGCTCACAACTATAATCCCAGTACTTTGGGAGGCCAAGGCAGAAGGATCGCTTGAGCCCAGGAGTTCCAGACTAGCCCGGGCAACAAAGGAAGACCCCATCTCTACAGAAAATAAAATGATCAGCTGGGCATTAGGTGTGATTGCGCCACTGTACTCTAGGCTGGAGAACAGAGTGAGACCCGGTCTCAAAAAATAGAAAAGAAAGCCTCAAAAAGTACATCTCATGCCTCCTTCTTCAGGAAGCTGGCAGAGTATGTGCGCCATAAAATAAGGTAGTAAGCCTGGGCAACACAGTGAAACCCTGTCTCTACAAAAAATACAAAAATTAGCTGGGCATGGTGGTACACACCTGTGGTACCAGTTACTCAGGAGCCTGAGACACGAGGAGCTCTTCAGCCGGGGAAGTTGAGGGAGCAGTGAGCTATGATTGTGCCACTGCACTCCAGCCTGAGTAACAGAGCAAGACCTTGTCTCAGAAAAAAAAAAAAAAATTTACATGGGCCGGGTGCGGTGGCCCATGCCTGTAATCCTGGCACTTTGGGAAACCAAGGCAGGTGGATCTCTTGAGCCCCAGAGTTCGAGTCTAGCCTAGGCAACATGGTGAGACCCTGTCTCTACAAAAAAATACAAAAAACTAGCCAGCCGTGGTATTGTGCACCTGCAGTCCCAGATACTCACTTGGGAGGCTGAGGTGGGAGGATCATGAGGCTAGAAGGTCTAAGGTACAGTGAGCTTTGATCATGCTATTGCACAGCAGCCTGGGTGACAGACTGTCTCAAAAAAAAAAAAAAAAAAGAAAAAAAAAAGAGGTAGTAAACCAAGAAAAAGAAAACTGTAGGATATACTAAACATAACACCCAACATAGATACAGAGAATTCCCAGATAATAATGGTGAAGAGAGATCTCAGGAAACAGCCAAGAGATTAGCCAGTCCACATTAAGCAAGTCAGAAGGCTCTAGAGATGTCTTCAGGAAGGTGAAACTGATAGCACACTTCATTCATCTGAACATCTTGAGGGGAGATTGAGAATACTAGTAAAGGATGTGAGGTTAAAGTAGGAATAAATATGTAAAAAACTGAACAAGTAAATAAAACCAAGACAGTTATAACTCCAGGGAAATCCAAAAGTTACAAAGAAAACGAAAAGTAATCATAGCTTCCTTCATGGTTCCACTGTGACTAGTTTATATATCATACAAGTATAAATTTGGAATCTTGATCTAAAAAAATTACCACTGAAGAATGGGAGTTAGGAAGGGTGTATAACTATACATTAATAGAACAAATAATTTTTTTTTTTTTTTTGAGACGGAGTCTCGCCCAGGCTGGAGTGCAGTGGCCGGATCTCAGCTCACTGCAAGCTCCGCCTGCTGGGTCTACGCCACTCTCCTGCCTCAGCCTCCCGAGTAGCTGGGACTACAGGCACCCGCCATGTCACCCGGCTAGTTTTTTCTATTTTTTAGTAGAGACGGGGTTTCACCGTGTTAGCCAGGATGGTCTCGATCTCCTGACCTCGTGATCCGCCCGTCTGAACAAAGATTTTTAAAAACACATAAAACAGGGCTGCTGAAAATAAACATGAATCAACAGCATTGGTCCCTGTGTCTGAACCATGGGTGTCAGGGGCAATGATTATGCCCCCTTCAGGACTGTCAATGTGTCTTGTGAACCTTCTTGCGGGAGGGAAAAAACCCAAAACTGGCTGGGCACGGTGGCTCACGCCTGTAATTCCAGCATTTTGGGAGGCTGAGGTGGGTGGATCACAAGGTCAGGAGTTCAAGACCAGCCTGGCCAAAATGGTGAAATCCCATCTCTACTAAAAATACACAAATTAGCTGGGTGTGGTGGCAGGCACCTGTAGTCTCAGCTACTTGGGAGGCTGAGGCAGGAGAATCGCTTGAATTCGGGAAGTGGAGGTTGCGGTGAGCCAAAATGGTGCCATTGCACTTCAGCCTGGGAGACAGAGCAACACTCTGCCTGAAAAAAAAAAAAAAGAAAAAACCAAACTACTGTCAGTGTATGGATTAATCTATTCAGACACAGAACAGTTCTGGTGATGATTGTTTAAAGTGACAGTATTCCAAACCCTCAGGCCATCAAATCTTAGAGCCCAGAACAATTGTATAAGTTAACATCAGTTGGCTTTTTTCCCATCTTTTTTGGAATCAAGTATGTTTGAATACCTGGCTGCACTAATCTTTCAAGCACATATATTTAAGTCTCCTTAATTTTGACTGAGATGACAAAACAAAAGTTGGCTTATTTTTCTCAGTTCCTTAAAAACAGTAACTCAAGATAAACCCTTTCAAAAATGCAGTACAGTACTTTTAAAACAAAAGACATCTACATTGAATAAGCAGTGGCAGTTTTGGGGCCTAATATGGCTGTTATTTATAAGCTGGCCATTTTTACATCGTGAGAGTAGTTCATTAGTCAATGCATTTTGATTAGATCAAATTTGATTTGATCTTATCCTAGCATACTCTTGAACACATCTTGCGTTCGACCCTTCTCAAGTGATTTTGGCAAGCATAGCCAAAGAGCATCCTCTGCTGGTCAGAAAAAAAATGGTGCTTTCACAATACCCAGATTTACTCCAATGATTGCATACGCATTTAGGGTTTGTGGTTCTCAAAATACTTTTTTTTTTTTTTTTTTTTGAGACGGAGTTTTGCTCGTTGCCCAGGCTCGAGTGCAATGGCCCGATCTTAGCTCACTGCAACCTCTGCCTCCCGGGTTCAAGCGATTCTCCTGCCTCAGCCTCCTGAGTAGCTGGAATTACAGGCGCCCGCCACCACGCCCAGCTAATCTTTCGTATTTTTAGTAGAGACGAGGTTTCACCATGCTGGCCAGGCTGAAACCTGACCTCAGATGAGGTCTCGAACTCCTGACCTCAGCTGATCCACCTGCTTCAGCCTCCCAAAGTGCTGGGACTACAGGCGTGAGCCACCGCGCCGGGCCTACTTTTTAAAGTGTATGAAAGCATTAACTTTAATGTTAACATCAGAATTTGAGAAAAAGAAGTTTAATAATTCAAAATTTCGTCTAAAATAATCCAGAACTCCACGTTTCTATCACTCATTGTAGGCTCCTGTCCCTTCCACCCCCGGGCGGGAACCCCTCCCAGGGACCCAGCCAGCTCTCAGCACTTCGGTCCCCACTGGTCTACTTGATCCGACGGAGGGGCTCCTGCAACTGCGCTGTACCCTAAATATTTGCTGAATCGTTTTGACTTTTACTTGTTCAAATTTCGCTTTTTTTTGGTTGCCTTTTTACGAACAAGAGGTTTAGAGAACCACATGGAAAAAAGGCAAGGCCAGGCCCAGACGCCCCGCCTCCTGCCTCCCGGCCCGGCGGTGCCCGGATGCCGGGCTCGCGCCCACGGCGCAGCCACACACGACCTCGATCCCGTACTTCGCGCGCTCTCCTGCACCGCCGCGGCCATCTCGCTCAGGAGCTCCTCCACGACTGCCGGCAGCACTACGGCCATCGCACCGCAGGACACGCCCTCAACGACTGGTCGACCGCCGCGACGCTCCAGCTGACCGCGCCTACCCGCGGAGGATTCCGACGCCCGCCGGGGCAGGGCGAGACAGAGTGACGTCGACGCGCGTGCGGACGCAAGGAGGTCCTGCTCAGTCGTCAGGGCCCGGCCAATCCAGAGGGCGCTCGCCGCGGGGGCGGGGACCAGGATCGCGCTTGGCCTGCAGTGCGCAGAGGACGCGGCGGGAGCATGTACAGGCTCCTCACCCGGAGTCTGGGCCGAGGCCTCCTGCGGGCCGCGGGGCGGCGGTACCGGGGCTGCTCCGCGCGCCTGCTCCCTGGGCTGGCAGGAGGCCCGAGGCCCGAGGTGCAGGTGCCGCCATCCCGAGTCGCGCCGCACGGCCGGGGCCCAGGCCTGCTGCCGCTGCTGGCAGGTGAGGGGCGCGGGCCGGGCGGGGCCGACCGGGCGGGGACAGGGGCGCGGGTCGGGCCCGATGACCTCAGAGCCCCTTCCTGCAGCGCTCGCCTGGTTCTCGAGGCCCGCTGCGGCAGAGGAGGAGGAGGAGCAGCAGGGAGCCGACGGGGCCGCCGCCGAGGACGAGGCGGACAAAGCCGAGGCCGAGATCATCCGGCTGCTGAAGCGAGCCAAGGTGAGGCGGCTCCGGGCCCTGCGCCCGGGCGAACGCGGTAGACTTTATGAGCGGGGTATTGGCGTTGTCGCTGCGCATTGCTCTCTCCGCCTCGCCGAAGAGTGGATGGAGGCTCCGCGGGTAAAATTGCCGAGAATGAGGTGGGTCATCAGAGAGGGGATTGGAATCCATCCAGGCTTTCCCGACTCTAAGGCCTGCAGTTAAACCTCTGCAGTGTCAAGTGCAAATGGAGATGGCGCCCCAGGCATCATACTTTTATGCAAACGAAATACCAGGAACGTTTTGTAGTTGTTTTATCAATTAACCAGACTACCTGAAATGACACAATTTCGCACGTATATAGCGGCCTGAAAATGTCAACTTAGTGTTGGTTATGCGATTCGGTTCTCTTTCTGAATTCTTCCCTTTCTCCACATGCTTTTCTATTTTCTTGTCTCCTCTTCTCCCCAAGTTATCTCATGCCTACAACGTCCAAATTTGTGTTTCCAGACTGTAGTGTGCTCCTGACATGCCATCTGCACTTTGGTACCTTACCTACCTCTCAGATTTAACATGCCCAAAACTAAACTCGATCTTTAATGCCTCCTCAACATGTGCTTTCACCATCTTTTTACTACCATCAGTTTTTCAGCCTAAAAACCTCATAGTCATTCTTAAAACTTGTGGTACGTTACCATTGCCTTCCAATGCAGTTACAGTCCAGCAACAAGTCCTGTTGCCAACAAATGCAAAATATGTCTCAAATCTTTCCCCTTTTCTCTATCTCCTTTGCTGTCACCCTAGTGCAAACCATCATTGCCACCACCTATGCTCCAGTAGTCTTTCCTAGCCTCCTGTCCCCTTGCAATCTATTCTCCATGCAGAAACCAAAGCGACCAAAAAAAAAAAAAAAAAGTAAATTGGATCATATCATCTCCTTGCCTGAAAGCTCTGAATGGCTACCCACTGCATTTATGATAAAATACAAACTCCTTGCCATGGCTTGCAACACCCCACATGATCTAAACTAGCATACCTTGCCCACCCGTTTGGCAGTAATCCTCCAGCTCACCATCCTCCCTTCACATCTGTTTCTTTGCATTTCTTCCCCAAAACCATTCTCTTCAGCTTGTAGGGACTTCACTCATTTTCTACCCTCTGTTTGAGTCATTGTTCTCCCCAGGTCCTTATTTGGTTGACTCATTCTCATCCTTCCTATCTCAGTTTAGCTGTCACTTCCTTGGAAAGCTTCCCTAAGTCCCATTTGGAGGAGACCCCTTATCATTCCTTTCTGTCATCTTTATAGCTCTTATCATTAGTTGTAATTAAGCTTATTTGTCCTGTATGGTCACCTGCAGCCTGCAAGAAATTAGAAAGAGGATGGAGGACAGGCAGCTTCCTTATAAAATATGTTGTAAAATCACATTCCTTCTGCCTGTGTCTCTTGGCCAAAACTTCATCAGATGGCCACACCTAGCTGCAAGGGAGGCTGACCTCCCTGTCACCTCTATAGACAATGCCTTGTACATAGTAGGAATTCAGTAAATGTCTGATGAATGAGTTTGCTTCCTTCTATCATTGGGATGTGTAGTTGCATACATTTCTGTCTGGTAGCGTATGCATCTACTATATGTTTCATTTTCTATTATTTTGTCTTCCCTTTTCAGTTGAGCATCATGAAAGATGAGCCAGAAGAGGCTGAGTTAATTTTGCATGACGCTCTTCGCCTCGCCTATCAGACTGATAACAAGAAGGCCATCACTTACACTTATGATCTGGTAACTCTTATAACCAGTCTGAACCACTGATGAGGAAGGTTGGATGGAAGGGAAGGGTTGTTAGTTCTCCTGATTCATATTCCTGACTTTCATGATGTTCTAAAGCTCCTTTTCTTTTTCACTGAGTTTTCTTTTGGCTTCAGTTTTATTTTTTTGTTTTGTTTTGTTTTGAGATGGAGCCTTGCTCTGTTGCCCAGGCTGCAGTGCAGTGGCACGATCTTGGCTCACTGCAACCTCCGCCTCATGAGTTCAAACTATTCTTTTGCCTCACCCTCCCGAGTAGCTGGGATTATGGGTACGCATCACTATGCCTGGCTAATTTTTGTATTGTAGTAGAGATGAGGTTTCACCATATTGGCCAGGCTGGTCTCGAACCCCTGACCTCAGGTGATCCACCTGCCTTGGTCTCCCAAAGTGCTGAGATTACAGGCATGAGCCACCATGCCCGGCCATGGCTTCAGTTTTTTTACCCTTGGGGTGACATAAGACCTCTCAATTCCAGACCAAAAGAAACCAGTATCATTAGCATGTTTCTTTAATGATGAGTGGACCTAGATTTGGTTTGTTAACAACAAAGTATGTGCAAGTATTTACTTCTCACATGATTGCTGTTCTGCGCTTCTAGCAGATTAATTCGTGACATGCTTTTCATTTTAAACTTTTTTAAATTTTAAGGGTGAAAGCAAAAGGGAATTTTAAAGTTTTGAAATAAGTAGGAACACAGTACTCTAAACTGAAAAACAATTTGTAATTTGCTTTCAGATGGCCAACTTAGCATTTATACGGGGTCAGCTTGAAAATGTAAGTAAATTACTTTGCAATATCTTGAATTTGTGAAGGAGTAGCTTCAAGGGTACTGTGATAGTAAGGGTACAGGATAAGCTGCTATAACAAAGAGACCCCAGAATATAGTGACTCAAACAAGATACAAGTATATTTCTCTTTATTGTGTTAGTCCAGAGATAGGCTAAAGACTGAAGGCAGATACACATAGGCACCTTTGCTCTCTGATCCAGAAGTCCAGGTTCCTTCTAAGATAAGCCCTCATCTGCCTGGGTGAACTGCCTCACCTCCAGCCTGCAGGAACCGGGAGAAGATGGACTGTGAGCAGCTTCCTTATAAAATATGATTTAGAAGTTCATGTTCTTTTTGCCTGCATCCCTTGGCCTAAATTTTATCATATGACCATATCTAACTTCAGGGTGTCCAATCTGCTAAAATTGACTGAATTTTTTTTTTAAGATAAGGTCTTGATCTGTTGCCCAGGTTGGAGTGTGGTGGCTTGATCACAGCCGACTGCAACCTCGGCCTCCCAGGCTCAGTTGATCCTCCCACCTCAGCCTCCTGAATAGCTGGGACTCCAGGCGTGTGCCACAACACCTAGCTAATTTTCTTATTTATTTATTTATTTATTGTAGAGATGGGGTTTCACCATGTTTCAGCCTCCTGAGTAGCTGGGACTCCAGGCGTGTGCCACACCACCTGGCTAATTTTCTTATTTATTTATTTATTCATTTATTTATTTATTGTAGAGATGGGGTTTCACCATGTTTCCCAGGCTACATTGAGGGGACTCTGTAATCAAAAAGATGGAGAAGCAGAATGACTATTAGGAGACAGTTTGTAGTCTCTGCCACAGTGGGTTTGGATAAGAAGTTAATCTCTGAGGTTGTTTTCTGCTCATTAGAGAGTAGTTTAAGGTACATAGAGGATGTTGGGGGTCCTGATATTTTGATCTGTTTTCCTTTCAAAAGGGTACTTTGATGTGTGTGAGTGTGCATGTGTGTGAGTATATGGGCTTTACAAGGAATGATACATCAGATTGGTACTTAGAATCCGGGGCCATATATATATAATGGGTCCCAATTAAAAGAAAAATCTTTTTCTTATGCTTTTAGGCTGAGCAACTTTTTAAAGCAACAATGAGTTACCTCCTTGGAGGGGGCATGAAGCAGGTAAGGACATTGCCTAGTATTGGCCCCTCACTGAAGCAGTTTTCAGAACAGTCTTGTCTGCTGAAAACTCCTGCTAGCCCCACCATACGCTTTGGTCAGGAAAGGTGGAGTTTCCCTTCTGAGATCTGTATACAAATAGACATTCTTTCACTAAATGCAACAGCATGTTCGCCAAGGAATTCACAGTTGGCTAATCACTCTAAAAGAATAAAGACTGTAGCTTTGAGGCCACCGTCAGTCTGGAAGTTGATCCGAAATAATCCATGAGAATATTTGACTTGTTATGAATTCCCTTCATTCTCTTTCTCTCACAGGAGGACAATGCCATAATTGAAATTTCCCTAAAGCTGGCTAGTATCTATGCTGCGCAGAATAGGTAAGTACGGCAGCCAGGGAGTAGGACTGTGGGCAGAAAAGTTTGACTCTGGGATGTTACATAATATTCATTGCCTGCTGGTCATCTGGGTCTCCCAGAAATTGGGTACCACACTCAAAAAGTGTTCTGTCCCTCATCTTTGGAATTGTCAGTCTTTTCCAGTTTGCCCCTCCTGTTTCCAGTAGCCTGCCTAGTGGGGCACACAGCATCTCTGGCTGCCCTGTGACAAAGCTAACTAAGTTTTCTGTTGCTGCTTGAAGTGAGAAGGGAAGTTAGAGTTACAACTTTAGTTTAACTTTTTTAGAAGAGGAAAGAGCAGTGTGAAAGCTGCTGGGGATAATGTATTAATACTCTGAAGAAGCCATTTTGCTGGTGTAGATAGAGTTCAAAGATGAAGCATCTAGGATGTAAGCAGAGAACTCCTCTAGAGAGTTGTATTTGGGGTGAATTTAGGGAGAGACCTAAGACTAGCTTCATTTAGGGTTTTAGTGGTGCAGAAGTTGGTGCGAGAGGTTTGGAGTGACACGGAGCCTGATGCTGTAGAAAGGGTGCTTACTGAGACCAGGCCCTGGCACTGGTCCCTGCTGTCCTACTCACCAGCTCCTTTATTCTCATCAGGACCTGCAGAGTCTCCTTGCATTTTGATTGGACACTAGATAGGCTAGAGCTTCCTAGAGCCTTTGACTTCATGTCTTTTGAGGAGCTTTGAGCTTGGCCTATGCCAGAGAACACTGCAGCTTGGTCAATCTTCCTTGGAGTTGTAACAAACATGCCTAGTTCTTGATTGGGTATGAACTCCTAGGGTAAGAAGAAGCCCGGAGCTAATAAACGTTGTTGAATAAGACAAATTCATAGTCTTACAGACGTGAAAGCTAGTAACAATTAGCCTCTAAGTTACATGGTATACTGTACTTTTTATTTTGTTTTATTAAGACAAGCATGAGACTAGAAAAAGACATGGCCAGATCTGAGGCTTCGAAAGGCTGATATAAGTTAGGAGGGGAATTGTTTGTGGACCTCTTGCTCTGACTGGGAGCATCTTGTGGGCAGCGTCCACTTGCCCTGTGTTATGGCTGGAGAGGGCCCTCTTGCCAAGTTTTGAGTCTAGGGAAGGAAGGGGATGCTTCTGTTCTTCTGAGAACAGAGCAGAACAGTAGGGTCGTAAGTTCTCCCCTGGCAAAGCACTAGAGAAAAGATGAGCTTTTAGTGCCACTTCTGTAAGAAACTAGAGCCAAAACCGAAGAACAAAAACCAAAACTGAGTTCCTAAATGGAGAAGGGATTTCTGTCACATTTCCTCTGCATCTCTGTAAAAAGCAGCAGTCAGCCAGCCTGCTTGGGTTAACTGAACCCTCTCCAATTGATTGAGGGTCCAGGGCTACAGAGTTGGGTTAAACGACTTATATTGCCACAGCTAGGAGTTCCATTTCTGCAAAAGAAACTTTTATCAGAGACCTACAGCTTGAAATAAATATAAAATGACTAAAGCTCCTGAGAAGCTGTATGAGGTCAACAGTTGGAATCCTCACTGCAGGGTGGCCTGAACCTCTGTTCAGGGTAGTATTACTTTGAACAGAGGTAAGACTTTCGCACATGGAGAAACTGATTCACTGGAGACCATCTGTTAGTGGGAGATGATGAAGACCGCTGGCTATGTCAGTTATTAAAATTAGGGCAGCATTCCTAGCTTTTTGTGTCTTAAGTTATATTAAATGGATGACTTTTAACTACTTTGAGAAATGGCAGATTTGACACTCCTTAGACTTTAAACAAAGTTCCCTCTTCCCATTTTACACTTCCTTTACTGGTAATGTTTAAACTGAGCTGCAAAAATGAAGATAAAAAAGGAATTTATGAAAAGGTAAATGGGCCGGGCGCGGTGGCTCACGCCTGTAATCCCACCACTTTGGGAGGCCGAGGCAGGTGGATCACCTAAGGTCAGGAGTTCGAGACCAGCCTGACTGACCAATGTGGAGAAACTCTGTCTTTACTAAAAATAGAAAAATTAGCTGGGCATGGTGGCGGACACCTGGAATCCCAGCTACTTGAGAGCTGAGGCAGGAGAATCGCTTGAACCCGGGAGGTGGAGGTTGCTCTGAGCCGAGGTTGCGCCATTGCACTCCAGCCTGGGCAACAAGAGCGAAACTGCATCTCAACGGCAAAAAAAAAAAAAGAAGAAGAAAAGGTAAATGGCTGATTATTGATTTTGCTTTACAGACAGGAATTTGCTATTGCTGGCTATGAATTCTGCATTTCAACTCTAGAGGAAAAAATTGAAAGAGAAAAGGAATTAGCAGAAGACATTATGTCAGGTAGGAAACCCATTATCTGGGCGTCACTTTTCTCCACAAAAGGCTTTACTTTACACTTTGAGAAATGGAAAGAGATCTAAATTGAGAAGAGGGAAAGTTACCTATCTTTAAGGTATCAGCAGAAGTTTTGGAATAAGACGTTTTGTTTAAAATATTTGCTGTTTTGGTGGTTTTTTTTTTTTAACCCCCTTGGTGACATGTTCATAATTTATCTGTTAACTTTTAGTTACATATAACTTATGGAAAATTGGGGAGCAGAAGAAGGTCTTTCTTTTATTATCTCTTAGTTCAGCTACCAATCAAAATGCTTATTACATTTTAGCCCTAGATATACAGCAAATTAAGAAAGAAGAGAAAAAAAGCTCATGTTTTTGCAGTTCATCCTCACTCATTCTAGAGACTAGGAATAGAACTGGATGAGCAGGAAGTTCTCTAGCTCTCCACCATTTTGGGTTTCTTAATTTGGGTTGAGGTATTGAGAATTTTCAGATTTGACATTTATTCAATACCTACTCTATACCAAGAGCTATCAAGATGGTAGGGATACAGCAGTCAACTCTTCTGTACCTAATTGTCTTCTAACTCTCTCTTGAACAGACAGTAGTCCCCTATTATCCATGGGAGATATGTTCCAAGACCCCCAGCAGATGCCTGAAAAGAATTCTAATACACTGTGTTTTTTTCTTATACATATGTACCCATGATAAAGTTTAATTTATAAGTTAGACACAGTAAGAGATTAACAACAATAACTTATAGAACAATTATAACTATATACTGTTAACAGTGTCACAGACAGAAGATTCATTCTTATTGTAAATCTTATCAACCTCAGCATACAGTTTTGTTTTTTTTCTTATTGAGAACTTTCACCTTTTCATTAAAAGGAAGCACTTTATGACTTCTCTTTGTCATATCCAAATTGCCAGTATCACTACTCTTACACTTTGGGGCCATTATGTAAAATATGGATTGCTTGAGCACAAGTACTGTGACACTGTGGGTTGATCTGATACCTGAGACTGCTGCTAAGTGATTGAGGCTAGGTGCCGTATACAACTTGGGTACACTGGACAAAGAGGTGATTCACGTCCTGGGCAGGATGGAGTGTGACAGGGCAAGATTTCATCATGCTACCCAGAATGGCATGCAATTTAAAAACTTATGGATTATTTCTGGAATTTTTCATTTAATATTTTTCAGACCATGGTTGACTGCAGATAACTGAAACCCCAGAAAACTGTGGATTAGGAGGGATCACTGTACACCAATTTTTTTGTTTTCATCACTCCACTGAAGCTACCTTTATCAAAGTCACCAAATCCAATGGTTATTTGTCAATCCTTAATTTACTCATCAGCATTTTTAACTTAGGGGGTCACTGTCTCCTACTGAAAATACTTTCACTTGGCTTCTGGGATGCCTCAGTGGTCTCTCCAGTGAGGTGAACAGACTTCCCTACCTCTTAATGTTGGCAGGCTTTAGGGTTGTTTTCAGTCCTATTCTCTTTTCTCTCTGCCCCCACACCTAGGAGATACCTTTTAGTTCCATACTTTTAAATATTACATTTACACCTTCAGCCCCAACTTGCCCCCAAATGGCAGACTTATGATTATGATTGCCTACCCGACATCTTGACTTGAAGTCTAATGGTCATCTCATACTTCCCATGTCCAAAATAGATCTTTTCAGTTTTGCTGCTCACAACTTGTTTCTTCACCAGTCAGCCCCAGATTTGTAAATGGCACACTACTCATTTAGTTGCTTTGGCCAAGAACCTAAGAATTGTCCATGATTTCTTCCTCATTCCTCGTATCTAATCCATCAGCAAGTTATATTGGATCAGCCATCAAAATATATCCATACTGACCACATCTCATCCCATTACCCTACTGCTTTGGTCCAGGCCATCACTGTTTCAAGACCTCAGTACCTTTGTATCACCTTTAGAATAAATTTAGAATCCCTGCGTGGACCTGTAAGGCGCTTATGACCTGGGCCCACCCACCTCTTCCACGCCATCTGCTGCTCTCCCCTCGCTTGTTCCAGTCTCACCACACTGGTCTTATTCTGGCACATTCCAAGTTCAGTGCCGCCTCAAGGCCTCTTTGCTTGATATTCCCTCTACCTAGACTGTTCTCTCTTACCTTTTCCTGGCCAACTCCCGTACTTCACTCAGGTCTCTGCTCAAATAGCACTTCCTCAGAGTCCTCTCCTCACTAAAATTATCATCTCTTCCCACCTTACTATTGCTCTACTCCTCCTTCCTTTACTTTTCTTCATCACACTTGAAAGTAGAGGTGTGTGTGTTGTGTGCTTGTGTTTGTTTCTCCACTAAAAGTATGTTTTTGTTTAAAAATTTTTAGTCTTTGTCTTCCTTATCAAAGAAGGATAGAGACTTCATCCATTATGCTCACTGCTAAATCCTCGGTGCCTAGAACAGTGCCTGGCACATAATAGAGGCCCAATAATTACTGAATGAAAGAACAAAAGACCCAAGAAAGACCAACAAGTAAATCCAGTTTCAGTGCAGTGTGGAAGTGCTTTGAGGAAATCCACAAGAGGTGTAAAAACAAGTCTAGCTGTCAAGTAAGTCACTTCTGAACTATTTACACCTTTGCTATCTTTCTATGGTTTCTTAGGAGTGTAAAGCTGTATTTCCTGACTCAAAAAGTAATTCCAGTAAACACTGAAGAAGACTGAGAAAAGCACTAAGAAGTAAAGATCATCTATAATCATACTACTAAGAAAAAGCTACTGTTTTTACTACGGCTTTTCAGGTTACATTTGAAGACATAAATTTGGGATGATACTGTATATCCCACTTTGTAACCTGAGTTTTAAAAATTTAGTAACATATTGTGAAAACACTTTTTTTTTTTTCCCCAGGCAAAGGAATTCTTGTTGGATAGAGCAAACTAATCTCTATTATAAATATTATTTTTACATTTTACTAGGTGTGCGGTATAGAAAATGTGTTACATGATTCTTCATCTTATTTTTTCTAGAAAAGAAATAAATTCCTACTTATTCAGTTTTGCACAAAGCAAATCCATTATCAAATTTATGTGCTTTTTATTGACACAACTATCTCTATCCCAGGAGAGCATTACTTAATTACGTAAAATTACATTACTTACATAAAACCTTGCTCTAGGGTAATTATTTTGTTACCTATGTTGTAAATATATATATACTTACTGAGGAAATGCCCATAAAAAATTAAGTGAAAACTTTGGTTACAAAACAGTATAGTTAGTATGTAGACTAATGATAGGAATGGAACAAAGGCTTAATGATAGATATCAAAATATAGGCAGTGATTCTCTTTGGTTGGTAGGTTTATAGGGAATTTATATTTTATTTGTGTTTCTCTGAGTATTCTATAATTTTGCACAAATTTATATTTTTCTTTTTAATTTCCAATGTTATCTATTAGTATAAAAAGTCAAATAATATTAATAGTACAAAGCTTAATTTAAGAGAGCATTTTCTTGCTACCTCACCCCACCCCATCTATTTTTTTTATTGTTTTGTTTTATTTTATTTTTTTGAGATGGAGTCTCGCTCTGTCACCAGGAGTGCAATGGTGCAATCTCGGCTCACTGCAACCACTGCCTCCTGAGTTCAAGTGATTCTCATGCCTCGGCCTCCCGAGTAGCTGGGACTACAGGTGCCCGCCACCACGCCCAGCTATTTTTGTATTTTTAGTAGAGACGGGGTTTCACTGTGTTAGCCAGCGATCTCCTGACCTCGTGATCCGCCCGCCTCGGCCTCCCAAAGTGCTGGGATTACAGGCATGAGCCACAGCGCCCGGCCCCTGTTTTCAGCCTTAAACCAGCTTCCTCTGGTATTTACCTTCACATTTCTCAGTAATATAAATTGCTATTTCCTAATTCATTATTTTCAGAATCTGTTGATTTATGGGAAAGTGAATATTTAGTGCAATTTCTGCTTGTGTCTATATTATGAGTGTATGAATAGTGTTAGCTGCTGAGCCAAGTAACATGATTACACAATTACATTTCCTTTTGTGTACATTTTGCTTCCTCTGAAGTTAACTAGGTTTTTTTGTGGCTCCGTTTGTTATGTATATGTCAGATTCTTCACTTTTATATATTATTTGCTTTCTTCAATTCATAAGCTTTCCCAGTGTTCTAGAGTTCATGTTGGCTCACTTTTCATTGGCATGGCTGGCCATAGGCATTCAGTCTTCATCTTCCTTTTTTGTTTGTTTTCGTTGAGACGGGGTCTCACTCTGTCCCCCAGGCTGGAGTGCAGTGGTTCGATTTTGGCTCACTGCAAGCTCCGCCTCCTGGGTTTAAGCAATTCTCATGCCTCTGCCTCCTGAGTAGCTGGGATTACAGGCGTGAGCTACCACGCCTGGCTAATTTTGTATTTTTAGTAGAGATGGGGTTTCACCATGTTGGCTGGCCTGGTCTGGAACTCCTGACTTCAGGCGATCTGCCCGCCTCAGCCTCCCAAAGTGTTGGGATTACAGGCGTGAGCCACCACGCCCAGCCATGTTATATCTTTTTCATCCTGTAACTTTCATTTTAGTAGTATTTGGGGAAGGAGTGGAGAGGAATGTATGTGTTCAGTTCAGAATAGTAAATCTGTTATTGGGCATCAAGATGGTGTCCAAACCTGTTTTTTTAAAGTGGCTTCTTAGCACTGAGATTTCCAAGTCAAGAGTAGCACATTTTAAGGTTGTTGATGACTATTGCCAAATTGCCATTGAAAGGACTGTGTTAATTTACATTTCTTGGTCTGGCTATTTATGTGCTTTGTGACTTTAGTCAAATTACTTAATCCCTGTGTGCTTTTTCTTCAGTATGGGATTAAGAGTAATATGCATAGGACTTTTAGGAAGGTGGAATGAGTTAATACATAAAAAGTACTTAGAATAATACATTGTAGCTGCTCAAAAAGAGTTTGTTAGTGGTTTTTATTATTGTGATAAGGCTATGTCCTCCTTCCCAAAACTCATTAATTTTTATAATCTTTGTTAGCTTGATGATATGGCCTTGATGCATTATCTAGCATTTCTTTGATAAACAGTGAGGTTTATCTTTTTTTTCTCACCATGTCTTAGGGTGCTGAGAGGTTTATCTTTCATTGGAGCTTTATTGTAAAAACATTAATCCTTTGTCTCTTGGGTTTTCCTCCTGATTTGTGTTTATAGAGTGGTTTTTTTTTTTCTAATAAAAAGGGAATGTGAAATTAACATTTGTATAAAGAATTATGAGAATTGGCCAGGCACAGTGGCTCATGCCTGTAATCCCAGCACTTTGGGAGGCCAAGGTGGGAGGATCACTTGAGGTCAGGTATTCAAGACCAGCCCTGGCAATGTGGCAAAACCCCATGTTTACAAAAATTATCTGGGCGTGGTGTTGCACACCTGTAGTCCCAGCTACTTGGGAGGCTGAGGTGAGAATCTCTTGAGCCTGGGAGGTGGAGGTTGCAGTGAGCTGAGGTCCCACCACTGTGCTCCAGCCTGGGTGACAGAGCAAGACCCTGTCTTGGGGCGGGGGTGGATGGGCGTAGGCGGAAGATGATTGTGAGTATAGACAAGGGACCCAGCATTACCAGTACCTTTGGAGCTCTTCCTACCTGAGATAATACTCTCCTTAATCTTGTCACTATCATTCAATGGCGCGATCTCGGCTCACCGCAACCTCCACCTCCCAGGTTCAAGTGATTCTCCTGCCTCAGCCTCCCGAGTAGCTGGGACTACAGGCATGTGCCACCACGCCCGGCTAATTTTGTATTTTTAGTAGAGGTGGGGTTTCTCCCTGTTGGTCAGGCTGGTCTCAGACTGCCGACCTCAGGTGATCTGTCTGCCTCAGCCTCCCAAAGTGCTGGGATTACAGGTATGAGCCACCATGCCCGGCCCATTTGCTTTTCTTTAGTTTTACTCTGTGTCCCTTAAGAAGGTGTCATTTAATTTTTGCATATTGCTTTTAAAAATTTAAATAGGCTGGGTGCAGTGACTCATGCCTGTAATCCCAACACTTTGGGAGGCCAAGGTGGGAGGATCGCTTGAGCCCAGGAGTTTGAGACCAGACTGGGCAACATGGTGAGATCCTGTCTCTTCAAAAAATAAAAAAATTGCCTGGGCACGGTGGCACATGCCTGTGGTCCCAGCTACTTAGCAGACTGAGGCAGGAGGATAACTTGAGCCCAAAAGGTTGAGGCTGCAGTGAGCTATCATAGTGCCACTGTCCTTTAGCGCAGGCAGTAGAGAGAGACCCTGTCTCAAAACAAATTAAAATTATATGAATGAATCGTAATATGTATTCATTTTAGGGCATTTTTATTACTTGCACGAGTAATCTTTTCAGAATTAGATCAGAATTCATTTCTAATTTCCTTTGCTTTTATTCGTCTTTAATACATACTGAGTAGCTGTTCTGTGCCAGGTATTCTAGGATTTGAATAGCAGCAAGTAAGGTAAAAGTCCCTGCTCTTCTGGAGCTTAATGCTTAGAAGTATTTTTCAAGCTTTGAAATCGTATGCATCCTCACTTATCTTTCCTTATAATTTTCTATTTTTCTCGTATTTCTAAACATTTTTAATTTAACTTTTTAGTATATCTGGAATTTATTTTGGTGTGAAGCTGGTGACTATTTTCTTATAGATAGTAATCAATCTTTATGTACTAATTAGTATATACTTGGGTTTCTTTTGGGGTTTTCCATTCTGATGTATTTATCTGATGAGTTTTATAACAGTATACATTGTTTGAATTATATATTTGAGTTATATGGTAGGACAGTTGACACATGCTTCCTTTGCAGAATTCCTTCCCACATTTCACTGTTTTCACATGAATTTTAGAATTACTTTTTCAAGTTCCTAAAGTGCCTTGAAACTGAATTATCAGATTTGTATTATATTTACAAATTAGTCTGAGGAGATTGCCATCTGAATAAGTTAGCATATCTTTGACTGCAAAGAGCAGAAATTTCAGCTAAATTAGGTTTAACAGTAAGGACATTTATGTCAAGTAACTGGCAGTTCAGTGACAGGGAGCAGGCTGTTGAGTTAGTTGATAATGTGATTCATTGAAATCATGAAGGAACAGGCTCTTTCCATCTTTCCTCACTCATGTATTTTTTTCCCATGCTCCCCTGGTGGTTGAAACGTGAAACTAGCAATTCCCAGGAATCTCATCCAGAAATGACAGTGTCCAGAGGAAAAGGAGACTTCTTTGATGTTTCTCATAGGATCAAGGTAATCTTTCCTAGAAGTCTCCAAGTAGATTTATCCTTACTTCTTATTGGTTAGAATTGGGTTACATGCCATTTCTAACCCAGTCCTTGGGAAGAAAAATGGATTATCATGATTGGCTAAAACTCATCAGTATCTTTTCCTGAGGATGTGAGTCATGTGAGAAAAGAACGGATACTGGGACAAATCAGCTGCTCTGCTAGCAAAGGAAAATCTTTGTAATAGTGAGCCGTCTCACTGAGGAACATTCTGTAGCTCCTGCTTATATTATAGTTTTCTTCATATAAATGGCAGCTATTTATTAAACTTGATTCTAACTGACTCCTTGACTGAACTCTTTGCTTTTCAGTTGATATTCACACTAATTCCAGATTTATAATCATACATTCCAGAAATGATGGTACAGGTGGAGCATCCCCCAAAACTGAAGCTTTCTGAGTGCCAACATGATGTACAAAGAAAGTACTCATTGGAGCATTTGGATTTGGGTTTTTGGTTTTGGGATGCTGGCAGTATCCAAAGCAAATATTCCAAACTCAAAAAATCTGAAATTTGAAACACTTTTGGTCCTAAACATTTCAGATAAGGAATACTCAAGCTGTAATTGTTTCCTTCCAGAGAGTTATACTACTGTCTCCTTTCCCCACCCTTTATAAAATTAGTTCATTGACGTACCATCAAGAAATAGTAGTAATAGGCAACTTAGTCTTATATCCAATTTGGTACCAAACTATGTGACTAGATTTATTACTATTATATATCTAGAGCAGACCAGGCTTGCTTGTAGGTTAATTGCTTAGTACCTGTGTAGTGCTGGATAATATTTAATGCTGATATGTAACTTTTGTGTTTCTTATGAGATCCACAGTAAATTTCTTATTGTATTGTTTGTACTATTGTATTTGTATTATTTGTTATTGCAGGATTGTATTAATGTGATAAAATGAATTGGGATGCTTTATTTTCTATTCTGAAATAAGTGTATGATATTGCATTGGAATGGTCTGTTCCTTGAAAGTTGTAGAGTCTATCATGCCAGATGGACCAGAACTCCTGAGTTAATTCTCTGACAGATTTTTTTCTTCCTTCTTGATTACTCATGTATTTCTTCCATTTTCTTAATTTCAATATAGGACAGTGCTAATACATGATAAGCATTAATATCTATTGAATAAATGAATGTATGGGTGAACAAATTTTATAACTTACTAATTTCCTAGAAGAAACTTTAAGGAATTATATTTTTAAAGCATATTTTACACTACTCTTAACATACCTGATATCA